GACAGGTAGATGAAGACAGAAACAGACAGGTGTATGGTTAGACAGGTAGACTGATACAGGAGGATAGACAGATATACAAGTACAGTGGTAATTATGAAGGTGGAGAAGAAAGGTGAAGGTATGTGTGGGAGAGGGAGAGAAGAAAGAGAGGAATACAGAGAAGAGTAACAGCGAGAGAAGGAAGGGGGATAGAGAGGAGACAAAGAGAGAGGGATAGAGAATGAGACTGAGAGAGACAGAGATAAAGGAGAGAGAGAGAGAGAGAGAGAGAGAGAGACGGGGTAGTTACTCAGGTGGCCGCAGCGAGGCGCCACCTGCTGGATAATTGTTGCCACATACCTCAAGTGCCCGACCTGCCTCTCTCTCTCTCTCTCTCTCTCTCTCTCTCTCGTGTGTGTGTGTGTAATTTATTCCTTTTGTTATCAGCCTTCATCAGGCAAGAAGTATGTATACAGATAAGCGGAAGATACACACACACATGTACACATTCACCAACATTCACTCATTCACATATTCATACACACATACACATATATCAACATTCACACATACACATTTATCAACATACACACATACATATACACATTCACCAACATATACACATACAGATTTACTAACATACACACGTATACACAGTTACACATGGACGTACGTAGTGTGTGTACGTGAGTCAGATGCAGGACAGGTGAGCACAGGTGAGATAATTGGCAGGTGAAACGCCATGTTAAACTACCTTAGAATTTACTTGTTTATTGATTGTGTGTTTGTTTGTTTGAGTTGTGTGGGAATGTTGTTGTTGTAGTATATTTTGTTTATTGCTGCTGTTGTTATTATTGTTGTTGTTATTGTTTATACTTATTGTTGTTATTATTGTTGTTATTATTATTGTTATTTTATTATTATTATTATTATTATTATTATTATTATTATTTATCAGTTCATTTTTTTGTACGTTTATAAACCCGTTCATGAAGGGATAAAACACACACACACACACACACACACACACACACACACACACACACAGGATGAACCAATATTAAATCCTGTTAAAGGTAATGAATTATGTGTTACCTGGGCGGTGAATCATCACTCCTCTGGCACCTCACCTGGTATGTCGAGTATTCCTCTCTCTCTCTCTCTCTCTCTCTCTCTCTCTCATAACCAAGTATTTTCTATGCCATTGTGAGGTGTCATCTGCCAGGGTAGACAGTGCCATACCAAAAGGATCTCGTGTCATACCAAAGGGACCTCGTGTCATACCAAAGGGACCTCGTGTCATACCAAATGATCTCGTGTCATGCCAAAGGACCTCGTGTCATACAAGGACCTCGTGTCATACCAAAGGACCTCGTGTCATACCAAAGGCTCGTGTCATACCAAAAGGACCTCGTGTCATACCAAGGGATCTCGTGTCATACCAAAAGGGACCTCGTGTCATACCAAAAGGGACCTCGTGTCATACCAAAGGGACCTCGTGTCACACCAAAGGACCTCGTGTCATACCAAAGGACCTCGTGTCATACCAAAGACTTCGTGTCATACAAAGGACCTCGTGTCATACCAAGGACCTCATATGCATACAAGGACCTCGTGTCATACCAAGGGACCTCGTGTCATACCAAAGGGCCTCGTGTCATACCAAAAGGACCTCGTGTCATACCAAAGGGACCTCGTGTCATACCAAAGGACCTCGTGTCATACCAAAAGGACCTCGTGTCATACCAAAAGGACCTCGTGTCATACCAAAAGGAACCTCGTGTCATACCAAAAGACCTCGTGTCATACCAAGGACCTCGTTATACCAAAGGATCTCGTGTCATACAAGGACCTCGTGTCATACCAAAGGATCTCGTGTCATACCAAGGGACCTCGTGTCATACCAAGGATCTCGTGTCATACCAAGGATCTCGTGTCATACAAGGACCTCGTGTCATACCAAGGACCTCGTGTCATACCAAAGGCGTGTCATACCAAAGGACCTCGTGTCATACCAAAGGACCTCGTGTCATACCCAAAGGACCTCGTGTCATACCAAAGGGACCTCGTGTCATACCAAAGGGACCTCGTAGTCATACAAGGACCTCGTGTCATACCAGGACCTCGTGTCATACCAAAGGACCTCGTGTCATACCAAGGACCTCGTGTCATACCAAGGACTCGTGTCATACCAAGGACCTCGTGTCATACCAAAGGGACCTCGTGTCATACCAAGGGATCTCGTGTCATACCAAGGACCTCGTGTCATACCAAAGGACCTCGTGTCATACAAAGGACCTCGTGTCATACCAAAGGACCTCGTGTCATACCAAAGGACCTCGTGTCATACCAAAGGGACCTCGTGTCATACCAAAGGACCTCGTGTATACCAAAGGACCTCGTGTCATACCAGGGACTCGTGTCATACCAAAGGGACCTCGTGTCATACCAAGGGACCTCGTGTCATACCAAAGGACCTCGTTCATTACCAAAGGACCTCGTGTCATACCAAAGGACTCGTGTCATACCAAGGACCTCGTGTCATACCAAGGACCTCGTGTCATACCAAAGGGCCTCGTGTCATGGTCTGTCATAAGTGGCCTATTGTTTGTACGTGTGCTTGGGTACCGTACCGTCAGTACCACATAGGCTAATGGTACCTCAGTAAGTACCGTAGAGGCTAATGGTACCTCGTATTTCATTTGTACATCAGATCAGTGGCACCTCCATTTGAGTACCACAGCTAGCTTGAGTGCCACATCTAGCTAATGGTACCCTTATTTAGGTACCACACTAGACTTGTATTACCACCGGGTGATACCATACCAACGAGAGTACCAAGGGGGGGAGGAGGAGGAAGAGGAAGAGATATTGAATGAAGAGGAGGTCGGGGCTAGGGGCTGGTCGGGGGCTAGGCCGGGTGGGACTAGGGTTGGCAGCCATTAAGACACTCGTAATGAACTCAGTGTCTTGTGTGATGGATGATGGTGACCCGCCTGCCCGCCCCGTCCGCCTCACGCCGCCCGTCCGCCTCCGCCGCCCCGTCCTTGCGCCCGCCTCGCCCGCCACGCCTCTCACTTACTGTCCCACCCCGTCACACTTACTGCCCCGCCCCTTATTTCCCCTGCCCTTCTTACTGCCCCGCCCTGGCGCTTACTGACCCACCCCGCCTGCCCCGTCCCGCTTACTGCCCCGCCCTTTTATTGCCCCGCCCTCTTACTGCCCTGCCTTTCACCGCCCTGCCACCCTTACTTCCTGCCTCTTACTGCCCCGCCCTCTTACTGCCCTGCCTTGCCCCGCCCTCTTACTGCCCCTCCCCGCTTACTGCCCCGCCCTTTTATTGCCCCGTCGCTTACTGCCCTGCCTTGCCCCCACCCTGCCCCCCTTATTGCCCCGCCACTCTTACTGCCCCGCCCGCTTACTGCCCCGCCCACCACCTTTACTTCCCTCTGTCTATCTTGCCTCGTCACCCTTCTTCATCTTCCCTTTCTCTCTCTGTCATTCTCTTTTATTTCCTTCTCTTTTGTTTCATTCTCTTATATTCTCTCTCTCCCTCTTTTATCACAACTTCCCGTCACTTTTCTATTCATTTACTCTCAATTGTTCGCTGTTCAAGACTACAGTTCCGCCCCCAGTCTCTCTCTCTCTCTCTCTCTCTCTCTCTCTCTCTCTCTCTCTCTCTCTCCTCTCTCCCTCTCCTCTCCCTCTCCCATTCACCCACCATCTGTCCCACACATTCCATGAACCCCTTAACGGACTTTTCCCAGAAGTCTCCCGTCCCATTATCCTCTATCTTTTGTGTACCTCTTTCTCTTCCTCCTTCCTTCTTCCTCTTCCCTCTTCCTTCTTCCTTCTTCCTCTTCTTTGTTCCTCTTTCTTGTTCCTCTTCCTTCTTCCTCTTCCTCTGCTTTCTTTTCTTCTTTCTCTTGTTCCCCTTCCTTCTCGTTCTTCCTCCTCCTCTTCCTCCTCTCTTCTCCCCTCCTCCTCCCTCACCTGGACCCTCATGACAGGTGAACATCCAAGTGAGATAGATAGAGAGGACTAATGGACTGGTTAGGTTAGGGGTGGGTGACAAGACCTAGGTGACAGTGAGGGAAAGTGAGAAGAAGGGGTGAGGAGAGAAAGGGAAGGTGAGGGAAAATAGGGAGTTTATTAACACACACACACACACACACACACACACACACACACACACACGCACGCCCACACACACACACACACATGCACCACACACACACACACGCACACACACACACACACACACACACACACACACACACACACACACACACACACACACACACACACACACACACACACACACACACACACACACACACACACACCACAGGCTCTAAATTGTGTCCATCATTGATTTATCTATCCATCTGTACCGTGGGTCCGTCCGTCTGTGCGTCCGTCCGTCGAGCGACAGACGTATCCTCATCATTGGTGGACACGGGGGGTGGCTGAGAGGTGCATACATAATGTGAGCCGTATATAGTGGGGGGTAATGGATGCTATCAGTCTACCAGGAGTATGATGGAGGTGTGTGTGTGTGTGTGTGTGCGTGCGTGTGTGTGTGTGTGTGTGTGTGTGGTGTGCGTGCGTGTGTGTGTGCGTGTGGTGATGGTTGCTGTCTTTCTCTTCCTCCTCCTCCTCCTCCTTCTCTTCTCCTTCCACCCGCCCACCGCCACCACCCACAGCCGCCCACCTCATGACTAGCGGGTTTCCTTTGGTACAGGACCTCAATACAGACAGAGGAGGTGAGGTGTAAAGTCTCCACCTCACTGACTTACCTCCAGGTGATGTTATTGTCTGCAGGGGGGTGAGGGGGGTATGAGGGAAGGGTAGAGAGAGGGAGGGAGGAAGGAGACGTTTAAGGGAAGGGGAGAATGTGTGATGGCAAGAGAGAGAGAGAGGGGGGGATGAGATGAGGGGCACTTAGAAGAAGCTAATTTAATAAGTTGCTATAAAAGTTCCTCCAACTCATTACCGGGAAATTGTCTCTCAGGTGAACAATGTCGTCACCTGGCTCAATGAAGGTAATTACACCTGGACTGGTAGAGTCTCTGTCGGCAGGTAACTCAACAATTGGGGTTTATAGGTCATCATTTGTCTCTCTCTCTCTCTCTCTCTCTCTCTCTCTCTCTCTCTCTCTCTCTCTCTCTCTCTCTCCTCTTCTCTTTGTCTATCTATCTATCTATCTATCTATCTAATCTATCTACCTATCTATCTCATAAACCTTCTTAATTACACTTGTCACACCTGAACACACCTGTCAGCTCACTCCCCTCCACTTTACCTGTAACCTGCGTTGATTAGATACCTATGTGTGTGTGTGTGTAAGGTCAAGAGTCTTTGAGGAGGAGGTAGGAAGGTCGTCCTCGAAGGGGGTGCTCTCCTTGACTCTCGACTCCTCTGTTAAAATCGAAGTTCCAGATCTGATCTAACAAGTTTTATTGAGACGTGAATTTGCTGGTCCTGTGTTGGTGAACTATAGACAGACAGACAGACAGAAAGAGAGGTGGTGAGGGCGTGCCTGGTGAGGGGTGCCTGGTGAGGGCGTGCCTAGTGAGGGCGTGCCTGGTGAGGGCGTGCCTGGTGAGGGCGTGCCTGTAGTGTTGACATTTTACGATGTTCACTTTTATTGCCGTAAACTCAATAAATAATCCACAATGTTTGTGAATGTTATGTATAGTTCTGTATGTTTGTATTTTCTTGACCTAGATGAATACCTCTCTTTGTTATTTTACGTTATTTTACGTTATTTTCTGTTATTTTCTGTTATTTTACGTTATTTTATGTTATTTCCGTTATTCATGTTATTCCCATGTTAATCCTCGTTATCTCACACCACCTTCGTCCACCCCTACAGGTTCGCGTGTCAGTGCAGGACAAGAATGATTCCCCTCCCTCCTTCGGCGAGTCTCCTCGGTTCACGGTCTCGGAGGACATGCTAGCTGGCCGACAGATAGCCGTCCTTCGTGCCTCGGATCCAGACACTATAGGCACCCTGACCTACTCCCTGGTGGACGGGGATGACAATAAATTCACCCTGGATGCTGCCTCTGGTCACCTCAGCCTACAGGACACGTTAGACAGAGAGACGAAGAGTGAATACCAGCTGACAGTGAGAGCTGACGATGGGGAGCAGCATACTGATACTACCTTGTATATTGAGGTGAGTCTTTGGGCGTGTCTCTCTCTCTCTCTCTCTCTCTCTCTCTCTCTCTCTCACACACACCAGGTAGAGCGAGGTGAGCCACACACACCCTCCATCAGTAATCACTATGTCTTTATATGTATGTGGTCGCGGCCTTTTAAACTCCCCCTCCCCCATAACCTCCCCCTCTCCCCCATTCCTCCCTCTCCCCTCCCCTCCCCTCCCCCACAGCCAGATCACTTACCGCTTTTATACAAACTTTATCCACAAGTATGAAGGTTTAGTTTTTGGGTGTTGGTTAAAGTTAGTTATTTATACAGAGTCAAGGTGTAGCCACAAACTTCAGGTAAATGTGAATTGATTATGAGGCTTACAGGTATACAAGTACAGGTATACAGGTACAGTGTTGTGTAGGCATTTACGGTAGGATTTTATTTAGACAATAAATTATAGAGGCGCCATAATTGGTGCCTCTCTCTCTCTCTCTCTCTCTCTCTCTCTCTCTCTCTCTCTCTCTCTCTAACCTATCGTAATGGTGGGCCGTGATAAGCCTTATGGTACCTCAACGCCAGGGCCAGCGATCAACAGCGCCTGGCGTACCCTTAGTGACAACGTCTTGGCTCTCCTATCACAGATGTGTTTAATTAGATGGACACCTGTATTTCACTACTTACTCGTGTAATTAACCATACACACCTGTAATTAACCATACACACCTGCATTTAACTACTCACACCTGTGATTAGCTACTCACACCTGTAATTAACCACACCTGTAATTTGCTACTCACACCTGTAATTAACCACACACACACACCTGTAATTAACCACACACACACACCTATAATTAACCACACCTGTGATTAGCCACACATACCTGTAATTAACCACACACCTGTAATTAACCACACACATGTAATTAACTACACACCTTGGATTAGCTAAGTACCAGTAATTAACTATACTATACACGCAATTAACCACACACCTGTAATTAACTAAAAAACTAATAATTAACTACACACCTGTAATTTGTCCACTTAAATATAATCATAAACACAATCAATAATTAACCTGTGATTGCTATTTAATTCCTACTTAATTAAGCCACCCATAACACCTGTCCTATGTAAGCTACACTAGTAATTAACCTCACCTGTAATTAATTATCTAGACTAGTAATTAACCTTAACTGTAATTAATTCTCTATATACATCTGTTAATATATAATCACCTGGTACTTATTCATACACTTGTTAATTATTTACCCACACATGTAATTAACCTCCGTTCACCTGTAATTATATAACCACCTGTTTAATTACCCCGCCATACACCTGTAATTATATAGACACAGTTGTTATTGTATCATCCAATCGTAATTAACCGCATACCTGTTATTACCTCTACACCTGTAATTAAGACTTGAAACACACCTGAAGAATTGTAATTTTACATACATACATACATACATACATACATACATACATACATACATACATACATACATACATACATACATACATACATACATACATATCCCCCGGCTAGGATGTTGCTTGGACGGAGGTGCCAGTTATGATAGGATGGCTAGTAAGGATAGGACGGTTAGGTAGAATAGGATGGCTAGTTAAAATAGGATGGCTAGTTAGGATAGGATGTTAGGCCTGGGATGAAGGAGAGGAGGATGGGGGGGAGGGGAGGGGGTGGCTGAGAGGTGGAAGGGGCGGCTAGGATTGGGGGTGGGGAGGGCAGCAGGCTAGGGAGAGAAGGGGTTGTCTAGGCTAGTAGTGCGTGAAGATGGGTGGCGGGGGTGGTGGGGAGGGGCGGCAGGGATCAGTTCACCATATACAAGAGATAGTTTGGTCATTAAGACTTTTGTTGACAAGAAGATAAATGGAGGCAGATGGGAGGATAAGTGGAGGCCCTCACATATAGGTGGGGGTGAGGTGAGGGTGGAAGGGGCGTGGGGTGAAGGGAGGGTAGTGGTGGTGAGTGAGTGATGAGTGAGTGAGGACATTGTAGATTCATCAATAGGACCAACTCACAGCTTCCCGATATGTCCCAGATGCTGACAGTGATCGATGGAGAGAGAGAGAGAGAGAGGAGAGAGAGAGGACAGGTGTGGATTAGGTGTACTGTACTCTACCTTCACACACACACACACACCACACACACACACCTCAAAGTCAGAAAATTATGAAAGGTGTGGACAGAGTTACCTCTCCTTCCCTCCCCCTCCTCCTCACCCCTCACCGCCCCCCCTCGACCCCCCTCACCGCCCCCCCCCTCAGCCCCCTCACCCCCCTTAAGCAGTTAAAGTACCATGCAGATGAATGATCATTATACGACACAACCTACAATTAGACTTTTGTTTCGTTTAGTCTGATAGGAATGGATGATGGAGAATGGATGATGGATGGGAATGGATGATGGATGGGAATGGATGATGGATGGGAATGGATGATGGATGGGAATGGATGATGGATGGGAATGGATGGTGGATGGGGATGGATGGTTGGATGGGAATGGATGATGGATGGGAATGGATGGTGGATGGGAATGGATGATGGATGGGATGGATGATGGATGGGAATGGATGATGGATGGAATGGATGGTGGATGGGGATGGATGGTGGATGGGAATGGATGGTGGATGGGGATGGATGGTTGGATGGAATGGATGGTGGATGGGAATGGATGATGGATGGGAATGGATGATGGATGGGGATGGATGATGGATGGGAATGGATGGTGGATGGGGATGGATGGTTGGATGGCTTTGACCTACTCCGTCGTTGATGATGGAGTTGTTCAGGGTGTATTGATGTAAATTGATGAGTTGAAATGATGGTTGATGACCGTGGGGTGGGGGCGAGGAGGGGCGTGGGGGGGCGTGAGGGCGGGACGTGGGGGGGCGCGTGAGGGAGGGACGTGGGAGGGCTTCATAAGGCTGTCAAGTAATTGGGGATTTTTGTTTTCATTTAGTGAGGTAAATGTCTGGCGATGGCTAGTGTGTCGTATCTACTACTACTACTACTACTACTACTACTACTACTACTACTACTACTACTACTACTACTACTACTACTACTACTACTACTACTACTACTACTACTACTACTACTACTACTACACTTATTGAGGTATATAGATGGAGCTAGAATGATGGTACGGTACACCTGTGAACACCTGATTCATTTACCGATGAGGGGGAGAGAGGGAGGGGGAGAGAGAGGGAGGGTGGGGAAGAGGAGGGAGGAACGGTCATTATTCATCTGTTGGTCGAAATAAATCACTACCGATACAATTACCTGTCATCAAGATTATTATCAGGAACATTATCTACCTGTGGGTGATTAGCATATGTAATTGAGTGGTTATCATGTTACAGTACAGGTGTTATTCTGTAATGACCCGAGCGCATATATCATTGAGAGAGAGAGAGTTGCATTGGTATACCTGACAGGTTAATTTATCGAGTGGTTAGGTCGACGCTATGCAGGTGGGGGCAATTACCATACACCTTTACCTTTTGACAGACAGACAGACAGACAGACAGGGGATTGTTAGTGTGAGGAAATATATATATATACTGTTGTTGTTGTTGGTGCTGATGGGAAACTGTATTGGGTATTTGACAGGTTAATTGGTGATTACCATATTTACCTCCCTCCCTCCCCCTCCTCCTTCCCTCCTCCTTCCCTCCTTCTCTCTCCCTCCTTCCTCACTCCTCCCTCCTTCCCTCTCTCCCCCTCCTCACTCCTTCCCTCACTCCCTCCCTCCTTCCCTCCTCCTTCCCTCTCTCTCCCTCCTTCCCTTCTCCCCTCACTCATCCCTCCTTCCTCCTCCTCCTCCCTCCCTCCTTCCCTCCTCTCTCTCTCCCTCCCTCTCCCTCCTTCTCCCTCCCTCCTTCCTCCCCCACAATGACAGATACCCCCCACACCAACCAATTCCCTCCCTCATCCACCTCCCCAATTATGTCCCCCCCCTCATCCACCCCCCCCTCCACTCCACCAGCCAGCATATCCATTTTCAGACTGGGGCGTTATCCTCTTTGGTTATCGGTATTAGATGTGAGCCAACCAACATTTAGTTACTTGTTCATCATCCTGGTTAATGGTACGTCTCGGGAATACCCCTTCTTACTGCTCCTCCCCCCTCCCCTCCCCCTCCCCAGGTTGTGAGGACATGTGGCGCCGTTCCTGTTGTTACTGTTCCCTCTGTTGTTACTGTTGCTGTTGTTGCTTCGTGGTCATTTGTGCCTTCTGTTGATTGTGTCTTTATTATTGTGTGAGTTATTGTCAGTCACCTTTCGTCTATCTGTCTCTCTCTGTCTCTCCTTTTATCCACCTTCTCCCCTCTCCCCCCCCCTCATTATGCCTCCCGTCACCCCCTCCACCCTCTGTTGCCATATTAACTTCTGTTTGTTTACTGATGTTGACATAATTATTATATATTCTTACCTACTCATTGCCACTCTCTCTTCCTTGCTCAAGTCGTCCTTCCCTACTCGTTGCCACTCTCTCTTCCTTGCTCAGTCGTCCTTCCTACTCGTTGCCACTCTGTCTTCCTTGCTCAAGTCGTCCTTCTCGTTGCCCTCTCTCTTCCTTGCTCAAGTCGTCCTTCTACTCGTTGCCACTCTGTCTTCCTTGCTCAAGTCGTCCTTCCTACTCGTTGCCACTCTCTCTTCCTTGCTCAAGTCGTCCTTCCTACTCGTTGCTACTCTGTCTTCCTTGCTCAAGTCGTCCTTCCCTACTCGTTGCCACTCTCTCTTCCTTGCTCAAGTCGTCCTTCCTACTCGTTGCCCTCTCTCTTCCTTGCTCAAGTCGTCCTTCCTACTCGTTGCCACTCTGTCTTCCCTTGCTCAAGTCGTCCTTCCTACTCGTTGCCCCTCTCTTCCTTGCTCAAGTCGTCCTTACCTACTCGTTGCCACTCTGTCTTCCTTGCTCAAGTCGTCCTTCCTACTCGTTGCCACTCTCTCTTCCTTGCTCAAGTCGTCCTTCCACTCGTTGCTACTCTGTCTTCCTTGCCAGTCGTCCTTCCTACTCGTTCCCTCTCTCCTTGCTCAAGTCGTCCTTCCACTCTTGCCTCTCCTCCTTGCTCAAGTCGTCCTTCTACTCGTTGCCACTCTCTCTTCCTTGCTCAAGTCGTCCTTCCTACTCGTTGCCTCTCTCTTCCTTGCTCAAGTCGTCCTTCTACTGTTGCCCTCTCTCTTCCAGTCGTCCTTCCTCTGTGCCACCTCTCTTCCTTGCTCAAGTCGTCCTTCCTACTCGTTGCCACTCTCTCTTCCTTGCTCAAGTCGTCCTTCCTACTCGTTGCCCTCTGTCTTCCTTGCTCAAGTCGTCCTTCCTACTCGTTGCCCTCTGTCTTCCTTGCTCAAGTCGTCCTTACCTACTCGTTGCCCACTCTGTCTTCCTTGCTCAAGTCGTCCTTCCTCTCGTTGCCACTCTTCTTCCTTGCTCAGTCGTCCTTACCTACTGTTGCCACTCTGTCTTCCTTGCTCAAGTCGTTCTACCTACTCGTTGCCACTCTGTCTTCCTTGCTCAAGTCGTCCTTCCTACTCGTTGCCACTCTCTCTTCCTTGCTCAAGTCGTCCTTACCTACCGTTGCCCTCTCTCTTCCTTGCTCAAGTCGTCCTTCCTACTCGTTGCCACTCTGTCTTCCTTGCTCAAGTCGTCCTTCCTACTCGTTGCCACTCTGTCTTCCTTGCTCAAGTCGTCCTTCCTACTCGTTGCCACTCTGCCACGCTGATGATTGGTCGCTACAAGTTGCCATAGAGAGATAAACAGTGAGACTATTTCTGATTGGGTGAGAATTACCTGAAGAGTTGGTTGCCATTTTAGGTAAATAACAGGTCCTTGAGAGTTGCCATTGCAGGTAAATAGTGAAACCTTTATGAAAAATAATGTTGCCATGATAGCTAAAATACCACTAGTCCTTGTAGAATTTGTTGCCATGTTAAATGAAATCCTTGCGGGTTGGTTGCCACGATAGATAAAAATTGCCCAAAACAATTTATGATCGGCCGGTGCCTCGAGTTGTCCACAGTCCCAGGTAACCAATTAAGGTGTTCTATGATTGGTCACTGGGAGTTGATGTTAATAATGCCAAGGTGTTTGTTCAGTCGTCGAGGTTAGGTTAGGTTTTTTTTGAAGGTGAAGTCCAGGGTGGAGGCGGTGGGTGGAGGTCCTGGGTGGAGGCGGGTTCTTACTGTGTTGGGAGTCGACCTGTACAATCAGACTTACCTGTGCAACAAGACTCACCCTCGCAATAAGATTTACCTGCGCAATAAGACTCACCTGTGCAACCTAACCTAACCTGTGCAATAAGACTCACCTTGCAATAAGACTCACCTGTACAATAAGACCCACCTGTACAATAAGGTTCACCTGTACAATAAGACTCACCTGTACAATAAGACTCACCTGTACAATAAGACTCACCTGTACAATAAGACTTACCTGCAATAAGACTTACCTGTACAATAAGACTCACCTGTACAATAAGACTCACCTGTACAATAAGACTTACCTGTACAATAAGACTTACCTGTACAATAAGACTCACCTGTACAATAAGACTCACCTGTACAATAAGACTCACCTGTACAATAAGACTCACCTGTACAATAGGTTCACCTCAATAAGACTCACCTGTACAATAAGACTCACCTGTACAATAAGGTTCACCTGTACAATAAGACTCCACCTGTACAATAAGACTCACCTGTACAATAAGACTCACCTGTACAATAAGACTCACCTGTACAATAAGACTCACCTGTACAATAAGACTCACCTGTACAATAAGACTCACCTGTACAATATGACTCACCTGTACAATAAGGATTACCCTCTCTATGCTACCTAAATTTAAAAAAAATTATTGTATTATATATTTTTGTTGTATATTTTTAACTAAACTAAGTACTGTACTGTATATCAATGGGGGGGGTGAGTGGTAATGAGACTCTATTGGTTGGTGGGGATTTGAACCATGGGGGTGTGGTGATTAATTATCTTCCTGGGTTAAAGTGTTAGGGTTTGGTTAATCTGTTGGTTGAATCATTTACTAAAGGTGATTTGAATTAATGTTATGTATTCCTTCTGGACGGATACCAACGACAATCCTCCGGTGTTCCACGAGCCAGCTTACTCCTTCGACATCCCGGAGGACGCTGACAGAGGTTCCCAGGTAAGATCACCACCTTCAGCCCCTTCTGCAGGAGGTTTATTTTTAGTTACCTTTACCTGTAGTGAACCTAACTATAGTCTTACCTCTCTCTCCTCTCTCTCTCTCTCTCTCTCTCTCTCTCAGCGCCTCCTGTCTCTCCCATCAGGTCGACCTCAACCCCTTCTAAACGTCTCCCCAACTCTATATTATTTTATTTACAGGAATTTCAAACTCTGATGAGGTCTGATGATTGCATAAATGTTTACTATTATTATGCTCGGTGTAAGGTCAGGTCATTAGTGTTTTATGTGTGGTTCAGCCTTAGCGACGGTCACCATTACTACCACATTGTTGAAGTTGGTGATAAATTTACATAAGTTGGTTGTGTTTGTGATCCTCGTAAGTGATGTCTCTCTCTCCTCTCTCTCTCTCTCTCTCTCTCTCTCTCTCTCTCTCTCTCTCTCTCTCTCTCTCATAACACATGAAGTAGGACGGAGGGAGGAGGAGGAGGTGGTAACGTGTGTGTGTGTGTAGCATATGTGTGTGTGTGTGTGTGTGTGTGTGTGTATGTGTGTGTGTGTGTGTGTGTGTGTGTGTGTGTGTGTGTGTGTGTGTGTGTGTGTCTGTGTGTGGCAGTGTGTGTGTGTGTGTGTGTGTGTGTGTGTGTGTGTGTGTGTGTGTGTGGCAGTGTGTGTGTGTGTGTGTGTGTGGTATGTGTGTGTGTGTGTGTGTGTGTCCCCCCTCCCCCGCCCCCAGAGCCCCGGCGAGATGTGGATCAGTCGTGTGGATACTTTAGTGGGTAAGAAAGAGCAGATGTTTGTGTCAGAGAACTCGTGTTTGTCATTAGTCCCTGTCTCAGCCGCTGGCACACGGTGATGGGTTATCGTCTCTCCCTCTTCCTCCTCCTCCTCCTCCTCCTCCTCCCCTCCTCCTCCTCCTCCTCCTCCTCCTCCTCACCTCAAACCTTTGGAGTGATGGTCCAGGAAAACTGTCTTGGTGATTGACTGTACAGGAAGAGGCATTACAGGTGTGTGTGTTGGCAGGTGTCCAGAGGCCTCACCTGTTGTCCACACGGTGTCCTACATTCATTAACGTCTTGCACATGTGTGTATGTGTCACACCTGGCTGAGTAAGACTTGTTGAGAGAGAGAGAGAGAGGTTCTTTACTCGGGCAGGAAACACATCCAAGACGTATCGGTGCCTAACCTAACCTAACCACCATCACTACCACTACTATTACCACTAACACACATACACACACACACACACACACACACACACACACACACACCACACACACACACACACACACACACACACACACACACACACATACCTATAATCACTTTATTATTATACACTACAATAATTTTTCCTTCATATCCACCATTTGTATAACTCATTATAATTCTACATATGTTAATATAATTTCATCCTGTAAATTATAGTAAAATTACATTGTCAATAATTACTCTGATATAATTTTTCTTCTGATTGTTATATATCACAATTATATTCCCAGACTTATTCTATAATTCTTCACATTTTACTTAATTTCCTCATGTCTGTAATTTAGTGTTCCTGCTCCTGCTATAATCACCATATACCAACCACTGTGTCATTCTGCTTCACATATTGCAACAAGTGTATAATTATTTTGGGGCAACATTATGCAACTTTTCACTTTATATAATGTTGCAATATAATGGGTACTTGTTGCATGGCTGGAATATGCAACATAGTTTTATTCTTGATATATATAACTGCAACATTGGCATTCTTTCTCGTTCCTGTTCACCATCTTATTGCAATATTGGTCAGTGTTTTTGTTTTGCATTGCTTGTCATCTGTTGCAACACCCGGATATATTAACTCTTGCTTGCATGTTTTCTGTTGCAATATTTCCTTATTTTTTTCGCTTACGTTTGTTGTCACTGTATCAATTGCACTGTTGACCTCCTGTTCTCTTTTATATCTTGGTAATTTTATGCAATATTGATTCTTTTGCTTCATATCTTATGCAATATTGATTCTCTTGCTTTATATCTTATGCAACATTGATTCTTTTCCATTTCTGCAATCTATTTCCAACATCATTATTCTATTTCCATCTCTAATCTATTTCCAGCCACATTTATACATTTCCTGAACCTTTTCCCGACTGGCGATAATTTCTGTGATATAACTCGACCGTCTAGGAATTAATTTCTCTGAGGGGATGCATTTAAATTTTCTCCATGCAAGCTTTTTGAAATGTGTTGCAGGGGAGATGTGTTGGGAGGGATGTGTAGGTGTATTTCTGTACTGCAGGTGTGTGTATGAGAGAGAGAGAGAGAGAGAGAGAGGTGGTGTCTGAGTTATGAACGAACAACAACAAAGGGTACATACAGATATATTGAGTGGTTAGTACCGCAGTATAAGGAACGAACGAATCAGTGTACCGTACCATCAGGATGTGTGGGAAGCTTTGACTCTGAGGTACAGTACAGGTCCTAGCCGAGGGGTGATTGATGACCACTAGACTAATTATTGAACCTTCACGCTAATGTTCAACCCTTTATGTTTCTTATTGGTACACACACAGGTATACACACAGGTACACACACAGGTACACACACACACACAGAACTAACCAAATATCATCGCTAACAAGCATCACCTCATTAATTAATCATCTTATTACTACACCTTTACCATACAGGTGTGAGACAGGTAAAGCGAATCACACCACTGAGGGTCGTTGACGCTAATTGAAAAAGCACAATTACTGGCTATTATAATGTAGGGTCAATGGTAACGACGTGTACTGTATGATAACGTGACGATGGTGTGTGTGTGTGTGTGTGTGTGTGTGTGTGTGTGGTCAAGGCCAGGTAATGGTGTTTGGTGGTCCTGTTGGCTGGGGTCTTAAGGGCCATTATAGGATGTTTAGACCTATGGTGGCCCTACATCTCGTCTGGAATGTAAGGGCCATTTTGAGGCATGATGGCCATGGCCCTACATACCTAGACCAGAAGTAGGGTGATATTGGTCCAGACGGGTGTTTTGGTGGCCCTTTAGTGGGTCCCTGAGCCATCGTGAGGGCCCGGCGTGGCGTGGCGTGGCGGGCACATAACTGGCCGCCTCGGTGCCGGCCAGGAATTCATTTCTTCCGTAACCAAGTTTATGACCAATTAGATGCCTCGACGGCCTGACCCGTGCTGCCTGGCGTGGGCGACGGACGGTGGCGTGACGGTGGCCGTGTGTGTTAGTGGTACATCACAGCAGACGTGTGGGCGGCGGCGTGTTTGGTGGTACATCACAGCAGACGTGGGCGGTGGGCGTGTGTGTAGTGGTACATCACAGCAGACGTGTGGGCGGCGGGCGGTGTGGTGGTACATCACAGCAGACGTGGGCGGTGGGCGTGTGTGTTAGTGGTACATCACAGCAGACGTGTGGGCGGTGGGCGTGTTTGTTTGAAGAGTGAGGCTGGCAAGGTGTGCAGGTGAGCAGGGACTGTGAAGCAATTACCACACTACACCAACCCCACGCCCAACAACCCTCACGCCCACCACCTCACGCCCACCAAGCTATGTGGATTAATGTACATTGTATATATTATCTTTTATATCTGTATACTCTATACTGTATATCTCGTCTTGATAGATCACAGTACATTATGATGTATATTCTATCTATCTATCTATCTATCTATCTATCTATCTATCTATCTATCTATCTATCTATCTATATGTACCAATATTAATCATCTCTTAATTATTACTATTTAATTTATTATTTGTATTCATCCATCACCATAATCATCACACCTGTTGTCTTAATTATCCCTCACCTGTGTGTTCTCTCTCCTTCTGCAGGTGGGCCAGGTGTCTGCTTGGGACGCTGACGAAGGCACCAACGGGCAGGTCTCGTACACCGTCATCTCGGACTGGGGGAACGATGTGTTCTCCCTCAACCCCCAGACGGGCGAACCTCAAGGCTGGATTACGAGCAGGTAAGCTAGGCGAGCGGGGGTTACCTGTGTTAGGGACAGAATTTGTGGGATAAGGGATAGTTAAGAGGGAAAGATATTTTGGGTGATATTAGAAGGATGGCCCATTCACTTACCCACCCTCACACCCACCTCTTCCCCACCTCCACCCACTTCCTCAATACACCTAACACACACCACCCCATCCACCTTCCCTAACCACACCCTCCACCCACTAACCCCCCACACCCCTCCACCCACACCCACCCACCCACACTCCCACACACAGCACACGGGGTCCCCAGGACCACACAGGTTTCTTACATACTTCCTGAAAAGGTAGAAGAGTCCTGTACACCTGAGATTAACTTCACCTGGAAGAGAGAGAGAAAGATAAAAAGGTGTTTGCGGTCCTAGGCACAGTGGAGACCAGCCATTGCACTGTATCTCTAGTGGAAGAGGAGGAGACATTAGAGAGACGTTTTGGGAGGAGATATCCGGGTATTGTATCCAACCTAGAGTATATGTCTAGTAGAAGAGGAGACATAGCTTTCTAGTCTTCATTCACTGGAAATACAGACATATCCCTCCCTCTTGAAGTGTACAGTATGTCTGGTAGAATTGACTCATGATCCTTGAAATCTTCCTCTTGTGAAATATCGATCTCCTGGAGGTATCATTGTATAACACGTTCAAACACCTCATCTTAAATGCTGTGTAAATCTTGCAATAAAAAATAATGAAAAAAAAATAATAATATAACTGTTTTCTGTGAGTTATTTATCCATTAGAAAACGACTTGTGGTTACCCTCGTGTTTGTTGAGGGGAGGGGGACTGCTAAAATTAAAACTTCCTCCTGTAAATGTTTGTCTGTTAAAATCTGACTAAAATCACATTCTTAAACCAGCCATCTCCCCGTCCTAGTTAAGAGGTGTGTGTGTGTGTGTGTGTGTTAAGATTGGAGGTGGTGCCAGTAATTTTCTTAGGAACACCACCACGCCGCCTCCCTGTACCGTGTCTTACTGTGTTTTAGGTCGAATCATGTCACCTTTTTTTTTTTTTGTCAAGATATTCTGATGTGTAGTTGTTGATGGTGTATTTATTTGTTGTTGTTGTTTAAGTAGTTGTAGTTGTTCTTGTGGTTTATTGTTCTTTGTAGTGATTTGTGTTATGTAGAGGTGTGTGTGTGTGTGTGTGTGTGTGTGTGTGTGTGTGTGTGTGTGTGTCGGGGAGGGTTGTCGTGCATTGCTCATCTATTCCGGTCGTAGAAGTGTGTCATGAAGGTTGATGTGTGGGGTGGGGGGTGGGGGGGTGAGGGGCTGGGGGTATCATGTGTAAGGAGGGTTGTGGGGAGGAAGATCTTGTGTGTGTGTGTGTGTGTACTACTCATCAGTGCTACACCTGCTTAACGCTTACCACACCTGCTCTACCTGTTCCACACCTGTCACACCACTAACCATACCCCCTCCTCACCACTCCCCCCTCACCCACCCCCACACACACAACAGGCTAGGCCACTCACCTCACCTTACCTACCACCTCATCCCACCTCGACTCACACCTACCACCTCATCCCACCTCGACTCATTCTCCCACCCACCACCACGGTCAAGAGCGAGGCCGCCCACCTAGCGGAGAGTCTCGTGGCACCGTGACCTCGCTTGACCTCATCTTGCTGTTGATTGGTGTTGTTGTTGATTATTCTTGTTTTTATTTTTATTTGTTTATTTAATTTGATTTGATCTTTAATTTTTGTTTTACTTTTTATTTAATTAATTTTGTTTATTCTTTTATTTATTTTTATTTGTTGTTAATTTAATTTTGTTTATTCTTGTCATTATTACTTTTGTTTGTTTGTTTGTTTAGTCTCTTGTATATGTTTCCTCTCTCATTGTAGGTGGTAATAAAAGTAGTTGTTGTGGTAGTATTGACGTTATTATTATTATAGTAACAGTAGGATCATCGTTAACACAGGAGATCACTTCTTAACAGTGTATTGAAGTCTCCCATCAGTGACCTGACCTGACCTGACCTGACCTGACCTAACCTAACGCGGTCGTAGCAGAAGGTATGGCGGCGACAAGGGAACAATTGACACGGGTTCGAATCCAGAGTTACCTGTAGAGTGTCCATAGGTGGTTAGTTTACCTGGGAGAGAGAGAGAGAGAGAGATTAATAATAATAAAAGGACTTTATATGTTAGTCTCTCTCTCTCTCTCTCTCTCTCTCTCTCTCTCACATGACTGAGAGCCTCTTATTGCCATCATAACACTATTTAAGCTCCGCCCTCCGCCCTGACTGACAGCCGCCCGATAAAACTAATGACGCAGTTAAGCTCCGCCCTCTGTAATGACTGTCTGCCCAGTGATAACGCTAATGACGCTGCTAGGCCCCGCCCTCCTTAGGCAGGCTGACATGAGTGACGTCACTAAGCTCCGCCCTGTAGTTGAATGAGTAACATCATTAAGCTCCGCCCCTCCTCTTGATAAAATAGATGACGTCATTAAGCTCCTCCCCTCCTCTTGATAACATATGATAGTCATTAAGTTCCGCCTTCCTTTTGATAGTGTGACGTCATTAAGCTCCGCCCCACTCGCGAGAGGACACCAGTGACGTCAATAAGCTCCGCCCATCTTAACGGATGAACGTAAATGACGTCACAGCTGTTCAAAAATCATCAATAGGTGTGTGTGTGTGTGTGTGTGTGTGTGTGACAGCTTTAACCAGAAACTACCAGACAAATACCCTCCCCCTCACCCTCCCCCACTCCCCCTTCCCCCCTCCCCGTCCCTCCTCCCCCCTCCCGTCCCTCCCCCTCCTCCCCTCTTCCCTCCACTTTAATAGGGCAAGTCGTACCTAGAAGGAGGGTCGTAGTGGTACCTAAGACCGCGGTGGTGGTGGTTGACGCTGCGCACATACCATTGGAGTGAACTGCGCCGCCGACATCATTGGACGGGTCTGCGCAGGGGATGGTGGCTTTGTTGTTGTTGTTCTCTTAATACTCCTCCACCTCCTCCTTGGGCTGCGCTTGAACTATCTATCGGGACAATACCTGCGCTGGTGGTGGTCGGATCTGCGCAGTGTATACACATAAGAAAAAATCCCAAGACTTTCCCTAACCAAAACTAACCAAACCTACCCTAACTCACCCTAACCTAACCTAACCAAACCTAATCTAGCCTAACCTAACCTAGCCTACCCTAACCTAACCTAACCAAACCTAATCTAGCCTAACCTAACTCAATCTAGCCTACCCTAACCTAATCTAGCCTCTACCCTAACCTAATCTAGCCTACCCTAACCTAACCTAACCTAACCTAACCTAATCTAGCTTACCCTAACCTAATCTAGCCTACCCTAACCTAATCTAGCCTACCCTACCCTAACCTACCCTAACCAAACCTAATCTAGCCTAACCTAACCTAATCTAGCCTCACCCTAACCTAATCTAGCCTACCCAACCTAATCTAGCCTACCCAACCCAGCCTACCCTAACCCAACCCAACCTAACCTAACCTAATCTAGCCTTACCCTAACCTACCCTAACCAAACCTAATCTAGCCTAACCCAACCTAATCTAGCCTACTCCTAACCCAATCTAGCCTACCCCAACCCAATCTAGCCTACCCTAACCCAACCTAACCCAATCCAACCTAATCTAGCCTACCCTAACCCATCTAGCCTACCCTAACCCAATCTAGCCTACCCTACCCTAACTCATCCCTAACCAAACCTAATCTAGCCTAACCTAACCTAATCTAGCCTACCCTAACCTAATCTAGCCTACCCTAACCTAATCTAGCCTACCCTAACCCAGCTTACCCCTACCCTAACCTAACCTAACCTAACCTAATCTAGCCTACCCTAACCTAATCTAGCCTACCCTAACCTAATCTAGCCTACCCTAACCTAACCTAACCTAACCTAACCTAATCTAGCCTACCCCTAACCCAATCTAGCTCAACCCTAACCTAATCTAGCTCACCTAAACCTAGCCTCACCCTACCCTAACCTAACCTAACCTAACCTAATTCCACCTACCTAACCTAACCTAACCTACCCTAACCAAAACTCCAACCCAACCAAACCAAATTAGCCAGCATCACTCACCCCCGCGTCGCGTTCTCTAGTAATTACTCACTCATTGACCGTACTGTGACCGTCCACTACCCCACTATTGAGACCGTCCCTACGTATTAAGGGGACGGTCCCTATCCATTATTAGGGGTTGCTCGCTGGCATCTGTGTATCGGCTTCTAAAAATATTCTTGGGGTTATGTTCGATAAAGGGGACGGTGGTCACGTGTTATTGGGACCGTCTCGAGGGGTTATCGGGACGGTTTCTGTTTGTTATTGGGACGGTGTGGTGGTGTTGTTACGGCATCTTGGAAATGGTTCGTAACTGTTGTTAGATTGTGGAGTGAGATCTGTTGATGGTGTAGTGGTGATGGTGTAGTGTGGAGGTAGGTGGTGGTAGTGGTGGTGGTGGTGGTGAGGTGGTGGTGGTGAGGTAGGTGTAGTAGTGAAGCAAGAGGTATGCTATGTGTTAACAGAGGCTCCACTAGAACCTCGGCTGTCTAGTAGGTCCCAGAAGAGGCTATTGAGGTCCACATGAAGGCCACTAATAAGGGCCTTTGTGTCCAGGTGAGGGCCAGCGTGACGGATCCTGGCGCCCCAAGAGTGGTTGTGTGGGGCCCTGGCCAAGGCTGGCTACCCAGCAGAGGACCCAGCAGTACGTTACGGCTTTGGTGAGGGTCTGGTGTATCACCAGAGGGCCCCAACAGGCCCTGGGTGGCCAGATGAGCGGCTCAGCAGACCCTGGATGGCCAACAGTGGGCCCCAGAAAACCCTCTCAGGCCAACAGAGGGCCTAATAGACCCTGGGTGGTCAACAGAGGGCCCCAACGGATCTTGGGTGGCCAAGAGAGGGCCGTGGGTGCCCAGTAGCCCGTCACTCCATCAACATGGGTAGCGGCGACCCTCACGAAATAGGTCTGGAGTAGCCTTTGTTTATACTGTTTCTGGTAGGTGCCACCAGGGCTGCCAGACCCATAGTAACCCCACCAGGAAACACACGGGACATCAACCCTTCCGCCCCCTGTAATTAAGTGTTGTTACGGTGCAGCGATGAGTAGCGGGATCCGCCCTGGGTGTCGACGATGACGCAACAAGTTAGTGGAGATGAGGGGCAGAGTTACCACGCACTCACGAGGGACGCCACACTCTCGCCTCACACACTCACATTCCCTCGTTACTCACAGCTCACAACCTGAGGACCTACTTAAAGATTACCAGTTTTTGGGGGGTCATTGATGAATCTGACCAGCAGAGTGTAGTCCACCTGGTGAACTTCTGCAGCGTCTGAGGGGGACCTGAGGACAGTAGGTCTTGGTACTACTCAGGACACGGGATGAGGGACCTTCTGGGCTGCAATGGACGGCAGTAGAGCCCAGCACCTCCACTTTACCCCTCCCAAATCCACCTGTGAATCCATCATTTGACGACCGCCTTTCGACAGCCAGAGATATGCCTCGTGGACGTGTAGATGTAAGGAGTCAAAAGTCACCCTAACGAGTAGAGGGATTAAGGCTGGTGTTTGAGTGAGCGTTCGTTAGTAAGACAGTCCAGGTGGGTGTTGATAGAGGGGGAGGAGGCGGCTCACATACACCAGGGGAAAGCACCATGTGGCAAGTCATCACCTGGATTGTTACAGATTTATAACACTTGCAGTTTCGCTCACTGGCAACACAGGGTCAGCTCAACACCCCGGCCTGTGTGTGAGGCAGTGAACACGAAGCGGTGTCGTCGAGGTTCGCTGGGGTGTTGAGGCGCCGCGGCCTCTCACTCTCCTGAACACACGCCTCTGAGACTGAACGATGCCGCCGCCGTCATGACCTTGAAGACGTGAACACCAACCTGCCTGCCTGCCTCATGCCGCGCCGACCAGAACAGCTCCTCCTCCTCCTCCTTCCTCCTTCCTCCTCCTCCTCCTCCTCAAGCTTGTCTGGTACTGTTGCTGCCACAACAACATTACCGCCACTACCAGTACCACCACCACTTCTGTCATCTCCACTACCACCAACATTACCACCACTTGTCTTCCCCGCTGCCACCACTGTGACAACACCATCCATATCGCCGTTCGTCCCTACTGCCACCTTACACAATAGTCAATATTACCACCACTAACACCACCACCACTACACGCCCTCCTACACGCCCACACGCCCTCCTGCACTCTTTCCTCTCGCTCACCCTCACCGCCACCTGTCACCTTCCTCCTTCTCCTCCTCATAATTATCATCCCTTTCCTCCCCCCTCCTCCTCCTCCTCCTTTTTTCTTTATCGTCGTGTTTACTTATGTACTTCAACGTGTCTTTATAATCATATTCATAACAACCTCACTGGTACACACACACACACGGGGGGACCATCATGAATGTCCACACAGGTATAAAAAGTATTAAGGGCGACGATGGCGCAGAAGGAGACTCCTGAAGTGTGTTTGTGAGGGACCATACAGGCCTGGCTATGGGGCCCTCTGTCTACACCCATGTTTGGCGGGGGAGAATGAAGAGGAGTGAAGGACACGAAGGAGGAAGGAGGAGGAAGTGGGACACGAAGGAGGAAGGTAAGGGGAGGGGTCATTTACCTATCCATTCCAGAACTGAGAAATTAGTTAAGAAGCTTCAACAAGATGTTTCACTTCATTAAGGAGACCTGGCAGAATGGTGGCAGGCTCTGGTGGTGGTGGCAGGCTCTGGTGGTGGTGGTGGTAGGCTCTGGTGGTGGCAGACCCTGGCGGTGGAAGGCTCTGGTGGTAGTGGTGGCAGACCCTCGGCAGGTGGGTCTTGGTGAACCATCATGGGAGGTGAGAGTGTCTGCCGGTGTGTCCATTTGTCTGCTTCACCCTCCAAGCCTTAACTTCTGGAGGAGGACAACTCACGCCATCCTCCACCTGGTAGCTGTAACCTCTGAGTCCTTCTCTACTGACGGAGGCGGCGGGTGGTGGTGGTGGTAGTAGTGGTGCTGGTAATGGTTGTTGATGGTGATAATGTTGGTTGGTGGTAATGGTGGTAGTGGTAGTTGCGGTTCCTCCTCCTTCACCGTGTTGTGCTCTTCATCGCCGTCAGGGTGTAGGAGGAGGAGGAGAATCAATCATCAGCAGGTGTGTATGTCTGTCTGTCTGTGTGTCATGTCGCCTCTTCTCCAGTTAATGATTGCGGTCGAGAATAGTCCAGGTAGTAATGTTTGTTTGTTTGTTTGTTTGTGTATGGTAAGCACGGCGGGCCCATCCCTCACCTCTCACTCGTCCCTCACCTCTCTCTCTCACCACCACTACATTATCAACTCTCTCTCTCTCTCTCTCTCTCTCTCTCTCTCCTCTCTCATCTCGTGACCCCCCACCACCAGAGTCATCTTAACATGATGACCTCTGATGAACATGATAGCTGAGGCGTGATGCTTCCATATAACCTAACCTATCCCCATTAACAGCCCACAGTCTCGTTATTCGCACATTTGTTGAGGAAGGGGGAGGAGGAAGAATGAGGGTAGATGGGGAATTATATTCCCTAGATCATCCATCTTTTAGGAATTTCTTTTCTTCTGCCGATATGTCGGAGCCCCGGCTGTGTGGCCCGGCTCCGACACCTGCCTCACCGCCACCACACCACCACCACCACCATCATCCACCCCCACCATCTCACCACCATCTCACCACCACCACCACCACCATCATCATCACCATCATCACCACCACCACCATCCCACCACCACCACCACCATCATCACTACCACCATCCACCACCACCACCACCACCATCATCACTACCATCATCTCCACCACCACCACCATCCACCACCATCATCACCACGTCCATCCTCCACCACCACCATCTACCATCACCCATCATCAGCACTACCACCACCACCACCACCACCACCACCACCATCACCACCATCTCCCACCACCACCACCACCACCACCACCATCCTCTCCTCTCCTCCTCACTCCTCCCTCTTCTTTCTCTCTCCTCCTTCCCTCTTCCTCTCTCTACCCCTCCTCCCCCCTCTATCCATCACCATTGTGTGTATATAAATCAGTTGACAGTAGAATAATTCCTACTTATTTACTCTAATACATGTTAGTCTTCGGTGTTGGGGTCATGTAGGTATGTTAGGTTCACTTCAGTTAGGTTAGGTTAGGTTAGGTTAGGGTGTTTAATCATCAGGTGAAATACACTAGGTGGGGTTTGTTACAGGTGTACCCAAAATTTACATTAAAATTTCCTTTCATCTTTCCCCCTTCACACACACACACACACACACACACACACATGACTGTACCTGTGTCATATTTGCATACATAATTTACAGCAAGTTGGTAATTCTCATTGTGTGCTGCTAGTCCACTTGTCAGAGCTATTTTACCCCTCCCTCTACACACCTTTCTTTCTTTCTTTCTTTCTTTTTCTTTCTCTCTTTCATTCTTTCTCCTCTAAACACCTTCCCTCCCTCCCTACCTCCTTCCTGTGAGTCATTAGTAGAAGCCAGGTAATTAATATCGTCCACCCTCTCTCTCTCTCTCTCTCTCTCTCTCTGGGTCATGGATGTTAGTGTGGGTGTTTCCAGTCCAGTGTTTGTTTGGTTCTGTACATAGGTTAGGTTAGGTTAGCTACGAGGTGTGAAATGTGTGTGTGTGGTAGAGGGATCTATCTTCCTGCAGGAGTGAGATGCCCCTTGGGTAGTGCGTCACATTGGTCTTCTGAAGGTGGTGGTGGTGACGGAGGTAGTAGAATGAAGGCATGACACACACACACACAGTTGTCACAGCATCCCTTATATGTGAGTGCCGATAGTCAGCCGTCCCGTTTAATTATGATGACTGGCTCAGTGACGCGTACACGGCACTAAATTGATGTGAGTGACAGCTTACAGCCCTCACGGACCCTGGGGATAAATGAGTGGCTGTTGGCTCTCTTAATATTGACGAATGAGAGGAGGAGGAGGAGAGGAGGAGGAGGAAGGAGAGGAGGAGGAGGAAGGGAGGAGGAAGGGTTGGTGGAGAGGAGAGTGGAGAAGAGAGATGATTGAGAGGAGGAGGAGAGGAGAGGAAAATAAAGAATAGTATGGATAGGTGTGTGTTGGGGGGAGGGTTTTTGCTCAATAATAATAATAATAATAATAATAATAATAATAATAATAATAATAATAATAATAATAATAATAATAATAATGTTATAGAAAATGTTAACAGTAATAATATGTAGTAGTAGTAGTAGTAGTAGTAGTAGTAGTAGTAGTAGTGGCAGTAGAAAAATTTGGCTAATGATCATAATAAGTTGACTCAAACAGGTGTTACCTATCCCACAGGTGCAGCACTACATCCTGGTGGTTCAAGCGCAGGACACGGGGCGCCCTTCACTCTCCTCCACCGTCACCGTCTACTTCAACGTCCAGGACCTCAACGACAACGCCCCCATCTTCGACCCCATGAGTTACTCCGACGAGGTACTGGAGAACATCACCGTTGGCTCCTCTGTACTCTCTGTCTCGGCCACTGATCAAGATTCTGGTAAGTTTGAGAATTGTTTTGTTTACCTGGGTGCTAACATCTCATTGGTCACTTGAGGTGTGACGTTAGGAGTATTAAGATGTTATTGGTTGGATGATGTGTGACGTAGGAAGTGTTAAGACGTTATTGGTTAGTTGAGATGTGACGTAGGGAATGGTCAGATGTTATTGGTTGGTTGATATGTGACGTAGGAAGTGTTAAGACGTTATTGGTTAGTTGAGATGTGACGTAGGGAATGCTCAGATGTTATTGGTTGGTTGATATGTGACGTAGGAAGTGTTAAGACGTTATTGGTTAGTTGAGATGTGACGTAGGGAATGCTCAAATGTTATTGGTTGGTTGATATGTGACATAGGGTGTTTGTTGATATGTTATTGGTTAGTTGAGATGTGACATAGAGAGAGTTGAGACGTCATTGGCTAGTTATGGGATTATTGTTTTTAACTTTACTGGGTAAGTTAATTTAGCATCATTAACATAGAGAATATTATCCCCAGGTGTAGTTGAGTTAATCTTACCTGTGTACGAGTGAACGTATGTAGTTAATGGGACAGGTATGAGTGTAGTTTGCAGGCTGTATTTTTACACACACACACACACACACACACACACACACACACACACACACACACACACACACACACACACACACACACACACACACACACACACAGTAATATGAATTTACCAAAGATACAAAGATTTTAGGGTGAGAGGTCCTATGAGGTGAATGCCCCCCACCCCACTCCTCCTCCTCCACCCCCTCACCTTTACCACCCCCATCCCCCTCCCCCACTCATTGCCAGCGTTAAGAAATATAATGTTGGTGGGGGAGGGGATGATTGCGGAGTGTGGAGGTAAGATGTGTGTGTGTGTGTTGATAAATGACTGGGTGTACTTGTTTCCATCGAAGTGACCTAGAGTGGGAGGTGGGGTGGGGTGGTGGTGGGGTGGGGTAGTGGTGGGGGTGAGGGTGAGTGGTGGGGGTGGGGGTAGTGGTGGGGTGAGGAGTGGTGGGGGTGAGGTAGTGGTGGGGTGGGGTGGTGGTGGGGTGGGGGGTGAGTGGTGGGGTGGGGGTGGTGGTGGGGTGGGGGTGGTGGGTGGGGATGGGGTGGAGGTGGGGGTTGGGGGTGGTGGTGGGGTTGGGGTGGTGGTGGGGTGGGGGGTGGTGGTGGGGGTGGGGATGGTGGTGGGGTGGGGGTGGTGGTGGGGTGGGGTTGGTGGTGGGGTGGGGTTGGTGGTGGGGTGGGGGTGGTGGTGGGGTGGGGTGGTGGTGGGGTGGGGGTGGTGGTGGGGTGGGGGTGGTGGTTGGGGGTGGGGTTGGTGGTGGGGTGGGGTAGTGGTGGGGGTGAGGGGTAGTGGTGGGGTGAGGGTAGTGGTGGAGGTGAGGGGTGGTGGGTGGGGATGAGGGGTGGAGGTGGGGGTGGGGGTAGTGGTGGGGTGTGAGGGGGTAGTGGTGGGGTGGGGGTGGTGGTGGGGTGAGGGGTAGTGGTGGGGGTGGGGTAGTGGTGGGGTGGGAGGGTGGTGGTGGGGTGAGGTAGTGGTGGGGGTGAGGTGGTGGTGGGGTGTGGAGGTAGTGGTGGGGGTGAGAGAGGTGGTGGAGGTGGGGTGGTGGTGGGGGGTGGGGGGTAGTGGTGGGGGGTGAGGGGTAGTGGTGGGGGGAGTGTGGTGGCGTGGAGTGGGTGGTGGGGTGGGGTGGGGGTGGTGGTGGGGGTGGGGTGGTGGTGGGTTGAGGTTGGAGTTGAGGTGGTGGTGGAGTGGAGGTGGTGGTGGGGTGGGGGTGGTGGTGGGTTGGGGGTGAGTGGTTGGAGTGGGGTGGTGGTGGGGTGAGGGTGGTGGGTTGGGGTAGTGGTGGGGTTGGGGGTGGTGGTGGAGGTGGAGGTGTGGTGGTGGGGGTGGGGTGGTGGTGGGGGTGGGGGGTAGTGTGGTGGGGTGGGGGGTTGGAGTGGTGGGGTGGGGGGTTGGTGGTGGGGGTGGGGATGGTGGTGGGTTGGGGTGGTGGGTGGGGTTGGGGTGGTGGTGGGGTTGGGGGGTGGTGGTGGGGTGGGGGTGGTGGTGGGGGTTGGGGTGGTGGTGGGGTTGGGGGTGAGTGGGGTGGAGGTGGAGGGTGGTGGGGTGGGGTTGGGGGTGAGGTGGTTGGGGTGGGGGAGTGGTGGGGGTGAGGGGTAGTGGTGGGGGGTGAGGGAGGTGGTTGGTGAGGGTAGTGGTTGGTGAGGGTGGTGAATGAGGCAGAAGGTTGGTGAGGAGAAGGAGGTGGAAGAGGAGGAGGAAGAAGAGTGGCGTTAAGGAGTTGTTGAGCAGAACAACCCAGCTAGCTAGTCCTCCCTCCTCCTTCCTCCTCTCTTCCTCCTCCCTCTTTCTTCTCCTCCTCCTCCTCCCCCTTCTACTTCTTCCACACATTCTCCTCCACCACACACACACTATCATCAAGCCTCCCATTGTCATCTGTCGTCTGTGTCGTGATGTGTAATTCTTTCTTTCTTTCTTTCTTTCTTTTTCTTTTACGTCTTCAGTGGCAGGTTTCCCGTAATTCTCCCCCCCCCCCCCCCCCCCCCCTCCTCTCTCTCTCTCTCCGCCATGAATTGGTTCTACAGGTACAGGTGTCAGCCAGTACAGGTAGACACAGGTACAGGTGTCAGCCAGTACAGGTAGACACAGGTACAGGTGTCAGCCAGTACAGGTAGACACAGGTACAGGTGTCAGCCAGTACAGGTAGACACAGGTACAGGTGTCAGCCAGTACAGGTAGACACAGGTACAGGTGTCAGCCAGTACAGGTAGACACAGGTACAGGTGTCAGCCAGTACAGGTGAACACAGGTACAGGTGTCAGCCAGTACAGGTAGACACAGGTACAGGTGTCAGCCAGTACAGGTAGAACCAGAGTACAGGTATAAGGGTACTGAAGAGCTGTGCTTAGGATTACAGCGACCCCAGGCTGCTGTAGGTAGGGGGGTGGGGAGGAGAGTGGCAGTGGTGTAGGGTGGGAGGAATATTGGGAGTGTGGGTGGGGAGGAGGTGTGAGAGGGGCGACTAATACCCTTCCCCCTACCAGCCCACCCTCCCCCACCAGCCCCACCTCCCCACCGCCCACCTCCCCCTACCAGCCCACCCTCCCCCTACCAGCCCACCCTCCCCCTACCAGCCACCCTCCCTACCAGCCCACCCTCCCCTACCAGCCCCTCCCCTACCCCTCCCCTGCCCCTCCCCCTACCAGCCCCCCCTCCCCTACCAGCCCCCTCCCCTACCAGCCCCTCTCCCCAGCCCCCTCTCCCCTACCAGCCTCCTCCCCCACTTGTTTATAATTTCCATGTAAGTTGGTATAATCCAATGTGTGTTTATATACTGTAATAATAATAAATGATCTTGTTATACCTTGTTTGTGTCGACTGGTTTATGGTTGTTATGAGTATTAATCAATAAATCAAGGTGTTGTCTGAGGGTAGGGGTACACGGCCCACCTATTATGTTGTTGTTGTTGTTGTTTTTTGTTGTTGTTGTTGTTATCTGTTGTTGTTATTTACTCATATAACAGTTTTCTAAGAGGTTCTAGATTATTAATTAATTTTTGAAGATGAAACATTAATGGTGATTTATGAAGGGGTGATTCTTACCATGGGGATATTAATTACTGGCATAGAAATAAATGACGGATTGTTATCTTAGGAATGTTAATGACTACAGGTGAACTACAGGTGAGGTGTGACGTAATTTGGGTCTTTTTTACAGGTGCGAACGGCCGCCTGGTGTACAGCATCTCAGGCGGGGACGAGAAGGGTCAGTTTAGCATCAGTGAGAATGGCACTATCTTCACCAAGGCGCCCCTAGACCGGGAAGACCAGAGCTTCTACAATCTGGTGGTAAGGGCCTCTGACATGGCCCTACCTGACCACACCCGCCTCTCCTCTACCGTGCAGGTAAGGTGGCCCTCCTTCTGCAGGTGTGCTCCCCCCCCCCCCCTCTCTCTCTCCTATGCCTCCTCCTCCTCCTCCTCCTCCTCTCCCAAGTTTCTCCCCCTACATTCTTTCCCTCCTCAGGTCCTCCTCTCCCACCACCACACCACACCATTACCCCCCCCTCCCACACCACCACACCACACCTCCTCTTCCCTCCCCACACTCACAACCATGTACCTTCCGCCATACTCACAACACCCCCACCCCCCCCTCGTGAGGACTTTCCCCATTGACTCACACCTGTCGCACATTTCTTAAGTCAACAAACGTGGGGAAATGTGACATTCTCTCTCACTTGTGTGTGTGAGAGACGTGTACAGTAGCTCACATTACTCGTCAGCTATCGTCATCATCATCATCATCATCATCGTCATCATCATCATCATCGTCATCATCATCATCATCATCGTCTCTGATTTGTTTCTGTTCACGTAATTCTTGTTTTTATTATATGGTTCACGTGAAGATTAGACACCCTAATTTTATATCACCTGTTGACTTAATAAACGCCCTAATGTCATATAATTCATTAGTGAAGTAATTATGGTACAGGTAGACACGGAATACAGGTATATATGATTACAGGTGCGAAGATTTCAAATTTAGTTGTAGTTTATTAGTTAAGAGACAAAGGTGTTGTGTGTGAGCAGGACCCGGGGGACGGGCAGGAGTCATATGAGCCCCTTGCCTTGACCACAGACTCCTCCTGTACCCGGGGATAGAGAGGAATTTTAGTATTACGCAAGAATTCTATGCGTTTTGGCTAATATAAAAAAACCTATTCTTGTTTCATTTCCCGGAGGACAGACAGACAGACATAGAGAGTCGTTCTTTATCTCCCGCTTAACCGCTATTTATCGTTATTAATGTAATACCGACGACCTCAACATCAACACGTATGCTCGGTTAGTCCACTAGAGCGACACTGACTACAACAAAACACTGTGAAATTCTGATCCTGGGTTAATAGTGTTCCAGTGATGATCAAATGTCCGACGATGAGACCTTATGGTGGGGCCAGGACGGAGTTGCCACCCCGCTCATACCTAAGGCTTCTTTTCCTGGGCTCACAACATGGGCCCGACGTCCTTAACGACCCGGCTCCCCGTGCCCCTGTCGGCAGTGGACGGGGGCCAATTATACCGCGATGTACAAGGGTGCAATGAGTAAAGGAAAAAAATATGAAGTCAGAGTGCATTCTTCCCGTGGGTTTAGTGTAAGTTTCCATTTGTTTTCGAAGGTCGGTCCCTTTATCCGGTTGGTTCGGTTAATGGAGACTTTACGGGTGTCCTTAAAAAACGACCGTTGTGATTATATTTTTAATTATACTCAAATGAATCTTAAAAGTATACGAGTAAAAAAACGACATTAATAAAAAATTCAAACCATCTCGAATACACGATACAAGTACCAGTACTCTTTTCTAATGCATTTGCATGGACTATAAAGTATTATTAAAAACCAGATTAATTTAAATTTTTTCATACCACTACACTTGAACAGACAATTCTACGATTATCATTAAAAAAAGACTTGATTAATTTTTTTTAGAAGCACTCGAATGGACGACCTCTGCACCGCGACGTTGCCTTTCCCGCCAAAAAAAATATTGACCCATTCCCGAGTCACAACTGTTCCAAACATTTTTACACTTGACTTATATGGAAGCACAAGTTAATTATTCAATTTACTGGTGATAAAGATTTAATTAAGAGAAAAGATATATGATTGGACGAATATATCCCAATCCTAGTCTTGACGGAACCCTAAATCCTAATCAAATCAAATCCTTAATGATGGTAGAATAGCTTTGAGGTTTATTAGGATTGGAAGTATAAGCGATGTGTTGTGTTGTATTTCCCAGGAGGATGGAGGGAAGTCCCGGGGAGGCGACGACCATCCTGGGGGAAAAAAATATTACCACTGAGTGTGTGTTGCCTCAGTACGATAATTACCTAGCGCCCCTCAGTCACGTTGCTAGTGATGCTGGCTAGTGCTAGTGCTAGTGTGTCCTTACTAGCAGCGTATGGGTTTAATTTCATGGTCTTGCTAGTAATTGTGTAATGAATATACTAGCATAGGGGTCGTAGTGTAGTTGTGGTTTTAGTAGTGATGGTATTTGTAGTGTTAGTGGTGATGGTAGTTGTAGTGGTGGTAGTGGTAGTTGTAGTGGTGGTAGTGGTAGTAGTTATGGCAGTAATGGTAGTAGTGGTAGTAGTTATGACAGTAATGGTAGTAGTTATGACAGTAATGGTAGTAATGGAAAGGCTACCGGGTTATTTAAGTGTTGCCAAATAATACCATGTTTTACACCGCCTCGTCAACCATGTTTATTATATGACGTAACCCTGTCCACTCCCCACCCCTACCCCAACCCCTCCCCAACCCCAACCCCACCCTACCCCGCCCCACCCCATCCCACAACTCCCAATCCCACCCCAACCCCAACCCCGTCCCAACCTACCCCATCCCCAATCCCCACCCCAACCCCGTCCCGTCCCTGGCCCCTACCCCACCCCACCCCAACCCAACCCCAACTTCAACCCCACCCCACCCCAACCCCACCCTCCCCGTCCCGTCCCCAACCCCCACCCCAACCCCACCAACCCCACCCCACCCCATCCCGCCCCAACCAACCCCAACCCACCCCAACCCCGTCCCAACCCCACCCCACCCCAACCCCAACCCCCACCCCAACCCTGCCCCGTCCCGTCCCCATCCCCAACCCAACCCCGTCCCCAACCCCACACCCCGTCCCAACCCCAACCCCGTCCCCAACCCCCAACCCCAACCCCACCCCTCCCCACCCCGTCCCCAACCCCAACCCCAACCCCACCCCGTCCCCGTCCCAACCCCAGCCCTAACCCCAACCCCATCCCAACCCCCGTCCCCATCCCCTACCCCAACATCCCCAACCCCATCCCCAACCCCACCCCAATCCCGCCCGCCCTACCCTACCCCAATCCCCCCCTCCCTTCCCTACCCTACCTCACCCTATCCCTACCCCACCCTACCCCTACCTAACAGCATCTATAGCCCACTACGATGAACGGGAGAGCATCGAGGTGAACGTGGTCGTCAAACCGACTATTTGAACTACGGCAGGAACGAGAGAGAAGAGAGAGAGAGAGAGAGAACGCCACATAGCCACAGGCATTGAACGAGAGACTGATGCCAAACACGACAACACTGACAGAACGAACGAAGGGTTGTGGAACGCCTGTCGGTGAACTACAACACCAATAACAGTTGTAACGACCGAACGATGTCATTTTGAGCTGTTGACACCTACCCCCCCTCCCCCCTCTCTCTCAACCCCCGTGTGCCTCTCCTCCCTGTGTTTAATGTATGTTAGGTGCCGCCTCTAACACACGGCGTGGGGAGATGATCTGTTGTACATGGGTATAGTTGGTACCCATTACTATAAGTGGGGGTATGGGGGGAGGGAGGGGTGGGGAGGGAGGGAGGAGGGGAGGGTGTAACCAATATCCTCCATTTCCTCCTTCCTCCCTCTATCTTCCTCCTCCCTCACCCCTTCCTATCTCTCTCTCCATCACAACATCATATCACCATGACACCATAACAGCACCTTATCACCATAGCATCTTACCACCACCACCACTATACCAGCACCACACACCACCATACCAGCACCATACCACCGTACCAGCACCATACCACCATACCAGCACCACACCACCATACCAGCACCACCACCATACCATCACCATACCAGCACCACACCACCATACCAGCACCATACCACCATACCATCACCATACCAGCACCACACCACCATACCATCACCATACCAGCACCACACCAGCACCATACCAGCACCATACCAGCACCATACCAGCACCATACCACCATACCATCACCATACCAGCACCATACCACCATACCATCACCATACCAGCACCACACCAGCACCATACCAGCACCATACCAGCACCATACCACCATACCATCACCATACCAGCACCACAGCACTCATACACATCCATACCAGCAACCATCACATTACCATAGTGTTGAAGGGTCGTGTTAACAGAGGACTGGCAAGACTGTACCGACCTCACACTGTTGAGTGATGGCCTGACAGGACTCTCTCTTCCCCACACCACTTACCCCCTCTCACCTCTTATGTCCGCTCGATGGGGGGAAAGGAAGCAGGGGGGGGAGGGAGGAGGGAGGGGAAGGAGGCAGAGGGGAGGGGAAGGAAGCAGAGGGAGGAAGGAGGCAGAGGGGAGGGTGAAGGAGAGGATGATTTCGTTTTCTATAACCCGAGGGAGGAGGAAGGTGGGAGGGGAGGAGGTTAAATCCATTGTTTTGATTTATTGATGCAAATTGGGAGACGAGTTGATGTCGTTTCTACTACACTACTGACTCCAACACTACCACCAACACTACCACCAACACTACCAACACTACCTCCAACACTGCCTCCAACACTACCTCCAACACTGCCTCCAACACTCCAACACTACCTCCAACACTACCTCCGACACTGCTCCAACACTGCCTCCAACACTGCTCCAACACTACCTCCAACACTACCACCAGCATACCCAACAACACTACCTCCAACACTACCACCAGCACTACCTCCAACACAACCTCCAACACTGCCCAACACTACCACCAACCCTACCTCCAACACTACCCCAACACTACCACCAGCACTACTTCCAACAACACCACCTCCAACACTACCACAACACTACTCCAACACACACTCCAACACTACCTCCAACACCACCACACCACCACAGCCTCCACCACCAGGGTCTATAAATTATATGTTTGTCTAACTATAAAAGCAACAAGATGGGGGAGGGGAGGAGGGAGTGTTGAGGACACCTCTCTACCTCCCACCCACACTCTCTCTCTCTCTCTCCACCTTCATTCTCCGTGCTCTCCTCCTCCTCCTCTCCTCCCTGTCTTCACGCCTCGCCCTCCTCCGTTGTTTTCCGTCTCTTTACTTTATTCACCAACGTTTGCTTCTTCTCTGCCCACCATCTCCTTGTTTTGCTTTCTTCCTCTTGTTTATTTACATCTGTCTCTGCTCCTTATGTGTTGGGGGGTGTGGGAGGGGAGGAGGAGGGAGGAGGTAGTAGGGTGGGGTACACCCCCGTTAGTCCACAGGTCTGGGGCCTAAAGAGACTACCCTGTCATTGTTCTACTACCACTACTACTACCACCAAACTACTACTACTACCACCACCACCACCACCACCACCACCACCACACCACTCACCACTCACCACCTCCTACACCTGTGTTTCACCTGGCCTCAACACCTGGCGATTTATGGCGACCTTCACTACAAGTATGGGGAGACGAATCCCTTAATTACCGTCTGGGAACCCAATTTGTATTTGTTGTGCCTTGTCGCTGGAGTGGGGTGGTGTTGGTAGGTTGGGGTTGGGGTGGGCCCGTCTCCTACCCTTCCTTCCCCATTTTTCTTTGGTTGTTCCTCATGATTTATGGGGGTTCTTGGCGAGTATGGGGTAGCGAGGAGTCCCCCTAATTGTTAAGCAGTGACATGACTCCAGTATGTTTGTTATGGTTGTCGCTGACTGACGGACGCCCCTCGCTGCTGGCTATTAAGTTTAAGGTCGCTGGACGCGTTCGCTCTGTTTATCTCGTCAGCTGATCGATGACGTCATGAACCCCTCCTCCCTCTCTCGCTGATTGGATCAAGCCATCTCCTGCGTCACGGACCTTGCACACCGAGAGGATCAAGCGAACTCCTTATATCAATATTTGCAACACTGTGAGGCTCCGCGGACATTATTTTCTTACGAATTCGTAGAAGTTTTTCATTGGGGTGAGAAGTGACTTGTGGACAGGTAGAAAAAAAAAAAAAGGAGAGAGAGAGAGAGAGAGACCTGCAACCCCGACTCTTTTAAAACTGCCTAAATCTGTCCTGCCCAGAGCCTGTTAAACCCCCCGTACAGGTCGTCGGCAGGTTGATGGGGTGGGCGAGGGTCACTGTGGCCATAAGCGCCCAATAATGTACACACACACACGCACACACACACACACACGTCCACACACACACACACACACACACACACACACACACACACACACACTCTCTCTTACCTGTTGGAATATTTTCTGTCTGAATTGTGTGTGTGTGTGTGTGTGTGTGTGTGTGTGTGATTTTTTGTTTACATATTTTCGTGGTTTTGCAGAAGGTAACGTTAGCAGGCATGGGGTTAAGTTGGAAGTTTGGTCGGGGGCTTGTCGGAAGGAAGGGGAGGCCTGGTCGGAGGGGAGGGCCTGGTCGGAGGGGAGGGCCTGGTCGAAGGGAGGGCCTGGTCTGAGGGGAGGGCCTGGTCTGAGGGGAGGGCCTGGTCAGTGGGGTGAATGTTCGAGGCTGGGTTTTATGAGTCAGGTTGCGCGATAAGGATATTGCTTGTGTGTGTGAATGATGGTTAATGTGTGGATAATGATACGGCTGTACGGGAGCCTATGGTAAAGGAACTTAATATGGTTCGGGGACGCCAGGGAGAGGTGGCGTCCTTGTTGGTGTGGCGAGATTAACCTAACCTAACCTAATCTAACCTAACCTAACCTCGCCTCGCCAGTAGAAGAGTGTTACCTGTGTGTGGTGACGTGAGGCCCAGCAGGTGGTGAAGGTGAATTAGTGTGTTATGACTGATGGTTCTAAGAGAAAGTGTTATTGTTTAAGTTACACAGTTGATTATTTGTTGTTTGTGGTTGTTATACGTTTAATTGTTGTTGTTTGTGGTAGTAGTGGTAGTAAGTTACACAAGAAAGTAATTGTTGTTGTTTGTGGTAGAAGGAACTAACTGTTGTGTTGTCTTCCAGGTGACCATCATCCTGCGGGACGTGAACGACATGGCGCCGGAGTTCGTGACGCCCAACGAGACTGTGGTGGAGGAGAACACTCCCGTCAACACGGTGGTGATGGCGGTGAAGGCCGTGGACCGGGACGAGGGCAGGAACTCCTACATAGAGTACTCCCTCGCCCCGGTCCCCGGTAACAGGTTCGCTCTGGGCCCTGTTGACGGTCTCCTCAGGATCGCGGCGCCCCTGGACCGGGAGGACCGGGCCAACTACTCGCTGGTGGTGACGGCCAGGGACCGCGGCAACCCACCCAACGCCCACACCCTCACCATCAGCCTCCGCATCGCCGACGAGAACGACAACTCCCCCATCTTCGACCCCAAACAGTACTCGGCCAGCGTGCCAGAGAACGCCTCCATCGGCCTGTCGGTGCTGCAGGTGTCGGCCACGGACGCCGACGAGGGCCTCAACGGCCGAGTCCGCTACACCATCGTCGCCGGGGACAAGAACCGCGACTTCTCCATCAGGAGACACCGGCGTGATCCGAGTGGCCAAGAACCTAAACTACGAGCGTCGTAACCACTATCTCCTGACGGTGCAGGCGGAAGACTCGGGCGCCGACGTGCGCTACGACTCCGCCACCGTCACCATCTCCATCATGGACATCAACGACAACGCCCTGTGTTCCTCGACTCGCCCTACCTCGTCTACGTCATGGAGAACATGGCTGCCCTGCCCGCCCCCATCGCCACCGTCACCGCCTTCGACGCCGACAACCCTCCCTACAACCGCGTCAACTACCTGGTGAAGGAGGGAGACAAGTCGGTGTTCTCCGTCAACGCCACCTCAGGACAGATCAGCTCTGAGGGCGCTGGACCGTGAGGAACGCAGCCACTACACCCTCACCGTCGTCGCCATGGACACTGGTGAGTACTGAGTTCCTCTCACCAGGGGGCAGCCATCTTCCCTCACCCTGCCTGTGACTGGTGACGTCAGAGGGCAGCTTGTCCTAGTATTAAGTCCAATATTTACATCACTAAGAATCTAATTGGTTCTCCTTAACTACACTAACAAGGCTGATATAACTATTTTGTCTCAGTGCCTGCCACATGGTCACACTGTGGTCCGCGTGTCATCCAGGCGAGACCTATTGTAGAGGCCTGTACATAATATTCACTTAACCTGTACCGCCTGTAGTGTGTGTGTGTGTGTGTGTGTGTGTGTGTGTGTGTGCCACTAGCATCATCACCTACACAACCAACCACCATCCGTAACCACCACCACCACCACCGTCCCTAACCACCCCACCACTACCACCATCCCTAACCACCACCACTACCACCATCCCTAACCACCACCACTACCACCATCCCTAACCACCACCACCACCACCATCCCTAACCACCACCACTACCACACCTTCATCACCTTCCTTCCACACCAACAAGTCATTAATTCCCTCCTCCTCCCTCCCTCCACACTTAATATTGACTGTGGTTCATATAATTTACCTCAGAACAACCAATTAGAAAAGCTTGGAGATTAATACCACTGTTCCCTCATAAAACTGTGCAGTACCTCAGGGTCTCTCTCTCCCAACCATGACCTACCACACATCCACTTTCTTTCTTCTTGTTCTTCTTCTCCGTCTTCCTCCTCTCTTCTCTCTCCTCCAATCTTCGTCTTCTTTACTTTTTATCACCATTACAGCTCCATCTTTTTCAACAGCTTTTCCTTGTTTAACTTCCCGTGTGACAGTAAAGGTTCCCCGCTACTGAGGAAGGCACTGCTGGGGGTGGCGTCCTTGTCGGAGTTATTATTAATGAAGTCTTGTAAAATTCGTCTTACGTCAAGATTAGACCTCCAGTTTATATAACTTTTAAGACTAACCCAACCAGCCAACCTAAGCCAACTCTAACCCAACCCAACTCAGCCAACCCAACCCAACTTAAGCCAGCCCAACCCAACCCAACCAACCAAGCCCAACCCAACCCAAGCCAACCCACAACCCAAGCTAACCCAAGCCAACCTAACCCAATCTAACCTGCCAACCCAACCTAACCTGCCAGCTCAACCCAACCTCTCCAGCCCAACTTAACCGCCAACCCAACCCAACCCAAGTTAACCCAAGCCAATCAACTCCAACCCACCCAAGCCAACCCAACCCAACCCAACCCAGCCCAACCTAACCCAGCACCCAACCCAACCCAACCCAGCCCAACCTTCTCCAACCCAACCTAACCTAACCCAACCCAACTCAGGTATAGTTAGAGTGTTTAATCATCAGGTGAAATAATCTAAGGCTAATCTTCAGGTGATCCCAAAATATACATCCATACGACATTTGTAGTGATCTGTAGTGACCTGACTGATATAAACTTTCCTCTGGTGTGGATTAATGTTGTAGAACACCTGTTATTTGTTCTTGTTCATTTATATAACATTGAGGGGCCACAGACGCGGACGGACAGGTAGGAGAGGTCAGGGGAGGGTGAGGTAGGAGAGGCAGGTAGAGAGGTGGTAGGAGGGTGAGGTAGGGGAGGTCAGGTAGGAGGGTGAGGTAGGAGGAGGCTGTCAGGGAGAGGTCAGGTAGGAGGGTGAGGTAGGGAGAGGTCAGGTAGGAGGGTGAGGTAGGAGAGGTCAGGTAGGAGGGGTGAGGTGGGAGGGTGAGGTAGGAGGGGCTGTAGGGGAGGTGAGGGGTGAGAGGTGAGGTAGGGAGGGAGGAGGTGGGAGGTCAGGTAGGAGGGGTGGGAGGTGGAGAGGCTGTGTAGGAGGGTGAGGGAGGAGAGGTGAGGTAGGAGGGTGAGGTAGGAGAGGTGAGGTAGGGAGAGGTCAGGGGAGGGGTGGGAGGGAGAGGTAGTAGGGAGGGTGAGGTAGGGAGAGGTCAGGTAGGGAGGTGGGGAGGTAGGGAGAGGAGGTAGGGGAGGGTGAGGTAGGGAGAGGTGGGAGGTAGGAGAGGTAGGGAGGGTGAGGGGAGAGGTTGGGTAGGAGGGTGGGAGGTAGGAGAGGTCAGGTAGGGAGGGGTGAGGTAGGAGAGGTTATGTAGGGAGGGGTGAGGTAGGAGAGGTGAGGTAGGAGGGTGAGGTAGGAGGGGTGAGGTAGGAGAGGTGGGGTAGGGAGGTGAGGTAGAGAGAGGTAGGGTGGGGAGGGTGAGGTAGGGAGAGGTCAGGTAGAGGGTGAGGAGGAGGTGAGGTAGGAGAGGTCAGGTAGGGAGGTGAGGTAGGGAGAGGTCAGGGTGGTGAGGGTGAGGTAGGAGAGGTCAGGTAGGAGGGGTGAGGTAGAGAGGTGGGAGGTAGGAGGGTGAGGTGGAGAGGAGGGAGAGGTGAGGTAGGAGAGGCCAGGAGTCCAGCATCTCACCCTAACCACTGCTATGAGGAACACACCAGACTAGCCCCTCCCCCCACCCCCCCCCCCTCACTCCCCCCTCCCCTCACCTCTCCAAAGAACCGGTTCTGAACCACTTCTTCACGCTGTTCGAACGGGTGATTATAGTGATGGGTCTGAACGAATCGGTTTCAGAGCGATATTCGAACCATACGTGAAGCAGTGAACTGCATGTGAAGCAGGAACCATACGTGAAGCAGTGAACTGTACGTGAAGCAGTGAACCATACGTGAAGCAGTGAACCATACGTAAAGCAGTGAACCATACGAAGCAGTGAACCATACGTGAAGCAGTGAACTATACGTAAAGCAGTGAACCATACGTGAAGCAGTGAACCATACATAAAGCAGTGAACCATACGAAGCAGTGAACCATACGTAAAGCAGTGAACCATACGTGAAGCAATGAACCATACGTGCAGTGATATCGTGAAACCATTGAACCCATACGAGTATCAAATGGTTCCAGCTTTTTTTTTCCATAATTTGTGTTTTTTATTATCGTCCTGAGGCAAGATAAGCGGTCGCCTCTAGTTGTCTGTTTGTTTATATGTGTGTGTGTGTGTGTGTGCTTTTACCTGTGTCTTTGTTATCTGTCTGTTTGTTCATATGGCACATACTATCCACCTCCTTTAAAGGGTGCCAAGTGCCAAGGTCGAGTGGCACTGCTCTGTATGTATAGCGCTCTTAAGACACGTTGACCCAAGGGTGAGGTTAGGTTAGGTTAGGTTCACAATGACGTCACACCTCTTCCGACCAATCATAGCCTGGCTGACGTGCTCTCTCTAGCCACACGTGTCTTGGATTCTCAAAGTTTCATAATTTTTTTTTGTTCCTAAATCGAGACAATTATCGTAGTTCTTCATTTACTGATTGGTCGTCCGCCATCTTTGTTTACTGATTGGTCGTCCGCCATCTTTGTTTACTGATTGGTCGTCCGCCATATTTGTTTACTGATTGGTCGTCCGCCATATTTGTTTACTGATTGGTCGTCCGCCATATTTGTTTACTGATTGGTCGTCCGCCATCTTTGTTTACTGATTGGTCGTCCGCCATATTTGTTACTGATTGTCGTCCATCTTTGTTTACTGATTGGTCGTCCGACATCTTGGAGAATGGGGTGGGTGGCAATTCCCTCCCTCCACCCTCTCCCTTCCTCCCCACTACACCTCCTCCCCACTACACCTCCCTCCCCACTACCCCTTCCCCCTAACCCCTTCTCCCCCTCCCCCAACCCCGTTATGGGTGTTGGTGTCCACTTAGTGATTTATGGGGGAGGAAGGGGTGATGAGGAGAAGGGGTGGTGAGAGGGAGTGAGGGGTGGCGTGATGTCCTGGGTAGAGAAGGAGGAGGGGAGGCTGAATTACAGTACTGGGTCTTCATAACCCCTGCCCTCCATCTCTGTTGATATATACCTGCTGAGTCTCCTGTTCCACACCTGCTGGCCCCCCCACCCCACCTGCTGGCCCCCACCCCACACCTGCTGGCCCCCACCCCACACCTGCTAAGTGATGGTGGTGTGGTCCGTGGAGGGGGTGAGAACCTTGACCCTCACCTGTTAATCTTGACCGTGAACCTTACCTGTCAGTGACCCACCTCACCACATCTCACCTGGCATCACGCATGACCTCTCTCCTGACCTCCTCCTCCTGACCCCTACCTCCTCCTGACCTCCCTCCACTCCTTACCCCTCTCCTCCTGACCTCCTCCTCCTGACCTCCAGTGATTCATGACCCTATCTCCAACCATATATGACCTCCAAGAACATCAAGTTGACCTCCTTTTAAATATATTGACCTTCAAGAGTGACCTCAGGTGGTAGTGTGTGTGAACCTGAGACTATGGGAGGCTGGGAGAGAGTCTTCAGCCTTGAGTGCCGGGCGCCTCCCTCCTCCAGGATCTGATAGGATCATGTTGCAGAGAGAGAGAGAGAGAGAGAGAGAGAGAGAGAGAGAAGTGTGAGGTACTGGAGAGTAGAGGGTATCATCCTTCCTCCTTCCTTCCTACTGTGCTCTTCACTCCATCCCTCCTTCCCTTCCTTCCGTCGTCACTCTCCTCCTCCCTCCTTCCCTCCATCCCACCCTCCCAATACAGTTGTATTTCTCGCTTCACTGATGACCACCAGATAGAGCGTCCTCTCCACCCCACCGGAACTTTACCGCAGGATTCTTGTGGCCGAAGGATCCTTGGGGGCGGTCCCTGGGGTCGAGTTGTCCTCCTCCCACAGTACAGGACAGGACAGGTTGTAAGGGTCGTCCAGTAAACGGGATAAAGGAGCTTAATTATCCTGACTATAAAACCTGTTTGGATAATTTTTCATTCATAGTAGTGGTGGTGGTGGTGTGTGGTGAGGAAAGGAGAGAGAAGGAGGAGGAGGAGAGAGAAGGAGGAGGAGGAGAAGGAGGAGGAGGAGGAGGGGGTGAGGGTGAGGGCGTGGCTAGGTACAGTCCATGGAGGAGTAGGTAGGTGGCAAGGTAAGTCCTCTCTCTCTCTCTACCCACCGTCCGTCTGTCTGTCACACCTGTCAACAACTTAACCTAATC